ATATAAGCCTTAAAGATATCTCCCTGCAGCAGAAGTATGAAATGTTTGGTTTGCAATATCTATTGGACACCTATCGTATACAGTGTAAACACCAACCTTTAAAGAGAAGACTGACATCTTCTATCTGTTTTAAAGAGGTAATTGCTGGATTGAATTACATTGAAAGGCTTTTGCCTAAATGATAACACTTTCACTTTCTTTCAGTCTTCACAGAAAGATGCATTATGGATGGGTAAATGAGCATTATCTTTCAAATCCAGCATCCACCATAATCATGGTATTATGGTCCCATTCAGCGTAGAATGTGTTTGCCTGATATGTAGATATAAATATATATATAAGCAAGTAGCATGGATCTGTTATCCTGACCAAGAAAATCAGGGTAGTTAACTTCTGTCTAAATGTTATTTTACCCTACTGCTCCAAGTGGTATTGACTTGATTCTCAAAAAAACAGTTTTGCTTGAGGGTACCCCAAAGTAACACATTTCACAGCAGCCACCCACCCGCTGTGTTTCAGTGGAGGTGGCTGTCTTATGTGTCGGCTCGGGATTATATACATCACACTGGGGAACACTAAAGCTTTCCATCCTGCAGCTCCGCTGTATCCTCAGTGTCCCGTCCCTTACATAATGTTCACACTGCGATGTCACGCCTGTCAGAGGAGGGGGAAATAATGACTGCACTGATGTGTTGTTGAGAGTGTGTGTAAGCAAGTGTGTGTTGGTGCTCCAGCTATATTTTAGTTTTGGTCAAGGACAACATTCTTTGCTGTCTACAGGAATAAAGAGAAGCCAGTTGATTGGTTACTTCACAGCTCATTACAACACACATATGCATAGACAAAAGCACACCTACAAGGTCACAGCCACAGTGGATGTTTATTTTAGACAGTTTTCGTCTGGTTTCAAAGTGTCCCTCTGAAACCTTATTAGACCTAAAACCCTGAGCTTCATTTATCAAACAATATGTGAGTGTATTAGAGCATGTGCATGTGTGGAATAATAACAGCTTTTTTTGTGTGTGTGTTTCTTTTTGTGTACAAGAAACTTGGACTTGCCTGTAATCATCATGACAAGTGTCGTATTGACACATGACGAGATGGAGAGACAGCCCACCCTCAGGGAGGGTTTAATGAGACTTTCAAAATGCATTTTTTGAATGCAGGCAGAGATGCAGTAGTAAGGATACAGATTTTGTAGAAGCTCTGATTATGTTTTACATAAGCAAACACACTCTGATCAAGATATGTTTGAGAAGACCGAAGACTGCTTCCATTTCCTCACCAATATTTTATTAAACACCAATATTTGACAACACTGGGATGCTTGAAGTGTTACAATCTAGATGACCATCCCTTCAGAAGCTTGAGCTTTTCAAACACTAAAATGTGGTCACACAGACTTGAAAGTGCTTTAATCCTTCACTACACAGATTATTGATTCATTAATGAGCACATTTGATCTTCCAGTTAAAACAAACACGTTCTAAAAGGTGTGTTTTGGCTCAGAACTTCAAATGAAGTCAATTCATGACAACTTCTTGCAGACAACCACAACACATGCACACAAGTGGATACTTAACCATCACAGGCGACCAAATTAAATGTAATGTAGGACTTCATTTGCAGGTCTTTCTCTTGTGATGATCTAAATCCTACTTCTTACACCACAGCAAAAGTCTCATCGAAAGTCAAAACACAGCAAACCTCAAATGGTTCAAACTAAGCAAAGAAGATTGCTGATGTGCTCAAAGTAGCTTTAATTAAATTTGTTATTTTGAGTTCATACTGAATCTGATGAAGACGGACGGATTCAAATTTCTAGCTGATATCACCAGAGTCAAGCCTCACACTCTGCAGGGCAACGGCACAAAGAAGATTATTATAAAGATGCAGAACTGTGCATAATGCATAACTAAGCTCACTGCACTAAAAAGCTGAGGAAGTGAAGGAGAGGGCTGGCTAGCTCACTCTGGCTCACATTATTTGCACCATAATAAATCTCTAAATTATGCAAATGCATGCTTGCTTTCATGTGCACGCGCAGACACACCGACAAAAGGCAGCCTTCTATGCATGTGTCAAGTCAGCAAAGTCACTGGAACATGAGAGAGGGAGGGAAGATGTGTTATTTAGTTTTCAAATGCATTTATTTATGGGAGGGTTGTTTTTATGCAGTTTTGGTTTTGCTTGATGTGCTTTTGATAGCACATGGCTACATTCTGGATTATTTACATTTCACTGGTTTGTATAGCAGAAGAGAGGAGGGATAAAAGGAGGAGGATGAAGAGGTGGAGGAAGGTTAAAAGAAAAAAGCTTTGACTAAGGAGAGAGATAGAAAGAACAGAGGAGAGGAGGAAGAAGCAAACAAATAAGCTGAAAAGGAAAATGTTTGTAAGAAAAGACATACAGTGCTGAGAAATATTTAAATAGTGTTCAATGTTTTATAATAATTAAACCAAAAACGATTTATAGCATATTGTGTTGACAATTAATATAGGCCAACAAACATGCTTATCTACATACTGTATAGCTAAATATAGACACGTACGCACAAGAGGATACAGATGTGCACCAGCACACACAAACACAATACCTGAATCCATGTACTTACACATGCAAGTATTCATATTAGCCTAAATAGCAACACAGTCTCACTGCATTTTGTGTTATAGTCACGAAATTAATCTATTGATTCGTGTTCACCAACACGATTTTCGCATTTTTTTCGTATCACACTGAACGATTTCAAAAGCAATGTAAATAATAACAAATTTGAAGGAAAAAGAGATTTAAAAAATACAGATTTCAGTATTCTGACACAGAACGATTTTAGAAGCAATGTATTTATATGTGTGTTTCGTGCCTGCAACAAATAATAACAAATTAGAAGGACATTTTTTGTTTTTTTAGGTTAGGCTCTGAGCCCCATTTATTTTCCTCACTGATGGCAAAAAAACTCAGACATTATACAATTTTAAATAAAAGGGTTAGGCTTAGGGTAAGAACATGTTTTTATGAACCACACAGCTTCTGGTCTTCCAAGACCCGACCGGACAAAAAGACGTGGTGCAGGCACGAAACATACTACCAATAGAAATACATTGCTTTTAAAATCGTTCTGTGTGACACGAAAAAAATGCAAAAATCGTGTTGGTGAACACGAATCAATAGATTAAATTAATTTCGTGACTATAACACAAAATGCCGTGAGACTGGGTTACTTGGCTAAGCTAAACATAAAGCAAGGGGAAACTAGCTAGCCTTGCTCTCTCAAAAGTAAAACAATGCTAAAGCTAAGTGATTGTATAAATAGCATAACATTTTGCAAAATAGATTTACATGAGAAGATTGACACAAAGTTCATGTTTTGTACAATATGTTGTAGCTAGTGCTAGCTGTCTGTTAGCGCAGTGTAGCAACGAGTCTCGAAGCTAACTTGCTATAGCTTCTGTACAAATTTCAAAAACATGTCGACCAACCCCTCTGAAGCTCAAATTCAGATTACTATCCTGAGAAGGGCAATTGAGCTTACACGGTCCATTACTTGTATCCTCACGTTTGAACCATGCTACTGCTAATAAATGCTAAATCTTTGACCTTCTATTAGCCTAAAATACCAGCTATTACCTTCAGGACGCTTAAACATTTGCCCAAAAAAAGAGAGAAGTGGAGATAGGAGAGGAAATGAAAGAAGAGAATATAAAGAAATTATGAAAAAGGAGAGACAGATAGAAAAGGTGGTGGTAAATAATTCAAAAAAGGAGAAGCGATAAGATGGCTGAAGAGGGAGGAAGCGAGGAGTTTTGAAACAAGAGGAGGCTTTGTCAGTGTTGAATAGACGGGCAGTTGTTGAGGAGCAATATCAGGCATGGATGCTTTTTCAGACAGAGAGATTACTAAACGAATCAGAGCATTGCAACAAATACAAATTCTGTACACACATGCACTCTCCTTTATATCATTGCAGGTATGAATGCCTCTGTTAACCCCTGGGTTTAACTCAGGCTTTATGTGGAACAGATCTGTTGTTCAAGCCCATACTCCATTTGTTGTAGCATTAGATATAAATCTCTGTGCAGATTTGCCCTTGTATTGCATCTTAGTGGTAGTACAACTTTGCAGCTGTTGTCTGAGTTGTGATGTTATGCTTTGTTTGAACTGAAACACACTGCAAATCCCCAGCTGGTGTCCGCCTCTGAACTTGAGCAATGTGTTTCTTAATGAGTCTCTGATCATAGTTCTTTCTCCCTTTTTATTTTATTTGTTTTCAGTAAGAGCCATGAGGGGTCTCGGGTTCTTTGTGCATTTTTACGAGGTATTGTTTATAGTTGTTCTGTTTTTGGGGGCATTTCGGATATGCACTCTTTAGGGCAAATGCAATCATAAGAAGGAATGCAATATTGCTAGACCATTAGCAGCTGCAGGAAAATACATATTATTTGGTGTTATTAGCGACATACCCTGAATCCGTGCAGGTATAAAAACGCAGATTTAAAGGCAACACCTTCAGAATCCAGCCGTGATTTGCAGATGTTTTCATGTGTTGGACTACTGGTTGGATAACAAGCTATTTAAAGACATCATATTGGGCTTTTTATTTTTGTAACAGTGAATGTCTTGAATTTGTCTGTTTTCTGATCACCAAAGGATTTATAAATGAATAAAAAGATTATTGCCATACATGTATGAATTGCTAATGAAAATAAATGATTGTTGCAGTCCTATCACTTGTTCTATCATGATGGCCTTTTTCTCTGTTTTCTGACAATAAATAATACATTTACTTGAAAAACAGACATATTTATGGATAATGAAACAATTAGCTTCAGACCTACTTATTTCCTCATGAAACATAAAAGTGGTATCCCTCTCCACGTCCTGTTGCTTTTTCTTTTATTCTGACTCTATTTATCATCTCTCTCGTTGTCTCTTTAATTGGGTTCATTTCCCTGTTTCCCTGTTTCCCTTAACAGATGTTGTATCTGTGTGTGTTGCAGGATCACTCTGAATGGGATGAAGGTGTCCAGGCCAGACGTTCGCATCGGCCGCTACAGAATGATTAAACACGAGAGAGACAAACACAACGAGCCGAACCCACAGAGGTACTGCATCATTGTCCAAACTCTTTCTGGGGCATTTGGATCGATCGCGCCGCTTTTGTCTCAAAGCTACACAGTTCAGATGTTTCTTTCCAAATGTTTCATCGCCATGTGAGAGAATTATCATTATGTTGCGCGGCAAAGGGCACACTATCAATAACACGCATTTATAATTAGAGATAGCTAGATAAATATGCCGAAACATGAGCAACACAGGCAATATATTAGGGCGGTTTTGGCGCAGTGGTTAGAGCGTTGGTCATCAGATCAAGGGGCGCTGGTGAACTCCAGTTCGAATCCCGCCACTGCGTCAGGCAAGACCTTGGGCAAGACACTTTACCCGCATTTGCTCCTGTGGGTAATGTCCGCAGTAATGACTCTAATGTCTAATATGTGTAATGTGTACTTGTAAAGCGCTTTGAGCACCTGTAAAAGCGCTCTAATAAAAAATGTAATGCATTATTATTATTATTATTAATATATGATCAAGATATAAAACAGGTTCGTAAATATTTCTCGGTTCTTTGTCAACATTATCTGCTTCTATTCTGTCCAATGTTGCTAAAATCCAGTGGCTAACCGTGTCTATCACAACTGGACCTTCGGTAGACACACACACCCCCCGCCGCCCCCCCTCCGCGGCATGATAATGTCTTTTCACTGAATTGTCGTCGTGAAAAGGGTACTCACAACAATTCCGCAACAACTTCATCTTCACCTGTTGCACTTGTCATTTCAACGTTAAAAACAATAAAACGGCATGAATTGCTTCGTCGCATTCATCTCCTCTGTCTCGAGCCAGTTAACTAGCGGGCCTTCTAGAATACCCTGGAACCGAGCGAAACTCTGAAAGAATACGCCCATTTGCTACAAATCAACGTAACACTGTAATATTACAGATCAACAACACAGATACGATTCTCATTTATTCATTTTATATACATTTTATTTATATAATTAAATCGAATTTTTGTTTGTTTTATCTGAGTGTTCCAGGGTATTCTCTGAATACCTTGAAGGCCCTGACGGTTCGCCACAGCTAAAATCACATGTTAAATACATTTTAAAACCTCTAAGATGATTATATGAGAAGCCTTCGCCTTGTTATAGCAATTTCAACGCTCACTTTGTGCTCATTCACAGTTCACACCTGAGAGCTACGCAATGTTAGTCCATCGCTCCTGCTATTATTCACTGAGCAGCTCCTAAGGGAAAACTTCACACTTAATAATAATATAATCAAATATGCAATACTTATGCTAAGGTGGGGGGGAATTTAAAAAATATAATACAATTGTATCTAATTTTCCTCAATGATTCAGTAATATGTTATGTATGTGTCCATTGTTTCTGTGTCTTCTACACACTGGTAGGAATACTGGTTTTGTCTGGTAGAAAATAAAGAATCCTTTATGAATATTTGTATTTAAGTATATTGAGTCAGAAATACTGTTTTGAGCTACATCACCCAAGGTTTCTTAAATCCCCCACCCCTTTGAAAAACATGAAATGGTAGCTTCTGCCCTAAATGTATACTGTAAAACTAATTCCATCACTACTGCTGCTATTGAATCAACCAAGACAAATGTAAATTAGAGCATAAAGCTAAAAGAAAAGGTGATGAAACTGGAACAATAAGTGAGGTATTGTTTCTATTTGATGAGTTTGAGATCACCCTACAGCATTTTTCCTCTGAATGATAAAAACATTTCACTCATAGCAGGATACTAAAAGATTAATGCATGAGGCTTTTTAAATGCATAAAGACATGGACATGTTAAATAAATAAAATATACATGCATTTTAAAGATGCACTTGTAATTTCCTATATTCACAGCATTTATAAAAATTGCCCTTCTACTAAAATGCAAGTTTCATAAATATCAACACTAGGCTGCGTCTGCTGCGATGCATGTTGGCTGCAGATAAGGAGGGGGCTTTAATATGCAAGAAGTATCACATGACTGAGCTAAATGTAAATAAAACTAGTTCTCCAAGGGACACAGCTCGGCTTTTCCGGCCACTAAAAGATTGGTAGAGATGAAAAAAGGAAATGTAAAAAGGACAAAACTATTTTCAATAAACCAAAAATGGCTTTCCACAGATGCAGCCCACAGGCTTTTGTGTTGCTCTTTTGGCTACATGCATTTAAATTGCTTTTTGAACAAACATGAAAAAATGCTTTCCCTATAAATGTGTTATTTTATGGTTTGATAAATGAGAAGCAATATGCAGAGATGAGCCCTTCTAGACACATTAATCACCAGGAGTATAGCACCTCACATTAAGCTGCTTAAACGTGGATTATCACTGTTTATTCTCCTCTAAGAGCCCAGTTTGTATGCCTCGATGGACCAGGCAACGATGCCTCTCAACACAGAAATCGATATCCGCTCCAGCAGAAAGCAGATATAGTGATCTCTGTTCCTTCAATATGGTTTTAGTTTGATCTCATGTGACATTATTACATCACAGCATTTTGAACGTCAGTATTCACAGTCGACTTCAAGTGTAGCTGCGGCTCCTAAATTGTTTTATAAGAAGATTAAAAATGATTCGTGTGAGAGAGCAGCGTCAGCCAAACACATTATGACATTTTTTATTTAGATTTAGCATACAGCCGCTTAACACGTGTTGCTTGAGTCTCTTATATATGTGTGAGAAAAGTATTCCCAACCATTTCCATTTTGGAAACTTCTTGAAACCTTGATTTTATTTAGTAATTACAACTTAGTACTTTGGTATCAATTTACTGAAGCAATCATATCATACATAAAAGCTTAGCATAACTGTGTTTATTGCAGCTGTCTATGAACTCTTGTAAAGGCACTTTTATTCATTACAAAGTCAGTGTAATTAATGTCATAGGTGACTCTTAAAACACATTGTTCAGCCATAAAATTATGCTTTCAAGTTTGATCCATGACATTATGATTACTGATATAAGAAATGAAAGCTTTAATAGGAACAGATTCTGTAAGAAACAACCAGCGACTTATTTATCTCAAAAGATGATGAAACAAGAAGTGTTCGGTTGCTAAGAAGCAGAGAAGTGTTGCTCACATCCTGGCCTTACGTGCATACCTTTTACTGACTGCACTTTGATGTTATTACTTATTATGTTCCCTTTGCTATGCTAACATATAAAATCCCCAACATTACACACGGCGTAGAAGGAAGGACAATTAGACACTGAGTATTTAAAATATGGCTGGAAATAACATTGGTTGAGATGTTTGAAGGGAAAGAGCCCTGCTCACCTTCTGGTCCTACATTTATAAACCTTTTTAGCGATTTTCTAATGCCTACTTTTCAAATCACCTGCAGTGTGCCCCTTTCCGTGCTAAGCGATAAAGATACAAATCCACCCTCTTATACAGTACAGGGGGCAGAGGAGTGCAAATTAACCAGAACATGTGTTTACCTGCAAAAAGCTACTGCCAAAACTAAAGATATGTCAGACATCCATCTAGAAGTAGTTAAACAAAAAATCTATAGTCTACTGTTCAATGGCGGCAATAACTCATAGATGTGTCTTAAATAACCAGGCCTGTGTAATATGTCATCCATAATTGTTTTGTGTGTGTTGGAGAGGGAGATAGGAGCCGGCTATGTTTGGACTTGTCTATTTTGTCAAAAATCTATTTATCCGCCACTAGACAGAAACAAAGTGTGTGTTTGTCTGCGTAATACTCGATTTCTGTTTTCCTCTGATGTCGCTCTGCTCTCCCTCTTTTGTGTGCATTAGACCTCCTAAATAAAAGGTGGCAACAACAGGGACGCTATTTATTTGAAGCTGATCCATTATTCATAACTGTAGCAAGAGGGCAGAAAATATCTGCCTATTAGTCGGGTCAAGCGGCTTTTTCAAAAGATGCCCTTACGGACACTCATTATAGTGTCTTAGAAATGTTGGTTTAAAGGATTTTATTTTAAAAATAAGTGGTATTTTGACTTCTGAGCATGTATAATCGGGAGCTTGTGAGGAAGATTGGCTGCATCGTGGCTCTATCAAGGTGGTGTGGGTTGAGGAAATTCTCTATTCTCATTTCATTCAGAACTTTTTAACATCATGAGGAAGGTTTTGCCATTTCTTTCGGTAGAGTCTTTGAGGGCTTTTTTATTTCTCTGATGGACATCATTTACATAATTTGATATTCTGTATGATTGAAAACATTAGGTAGAGTTGTCAGTAGTGATGGGAATTATGGCTCTTTGAAGGGAGCCGAATCTTATGGCTCCGTTCCTTTCAAAGAGCCGTTCAAAAGAGACGTTTTTTAAAGGGGGCGGGGTTACTAGGTTTATCTGCGAAATAATCACCAGGATAATGATTGAGTGTATTGCCAGACCTAATGTCAATAATCTGCATTGTAAACATGACACAAGGTGGGGCCATATCCATGTCATCCATGTCAGTGAATGTACTACTTTGAATTGACCCTCTGTATGTGTTAAGTAAATAAAGTTGCCTTGCCTTGAATGAAATTCATGCAACTCTTAATATTAGATACTGTGTTTTTAAGTGGCGATGGATATTATTTGTTGACCCTGCTTTAAAGGATATTTTGCCTTTACAAATGGTGCGCTTTATCACTGCCTGGGTTTTGGTTGAAATGCATCCAAATGCTGCTGCGTTTTCACGTTCCCATCCGAAAAACATGTCGTCTACCTGTCCTGTACCACTTGTTATGACTTCTCTCTCTCGCGTATTCCGTTAAGACCAACCCCATCTCACTCCTCGTGCTGAAACCTACCAGTCAGAGTAGGGGCGGGTCTTCACAGAGTACGTTTGGGGAACAAAATCAAGCTTTTTAAAAGGCGTGTGGATTTTGGCAGGCAGTGAGTGCGGACCAACGATTGAACGATAACAAGAACGGCTCTCACCGAGTACGACTCGGTTCCCCTCGTTCGAATCGGCTCGTTCGCAACCGACACATCACTAGTTGTCAGTAACCAGGGTAGCCCTCTGATAAGTTAGTACGGTATCACACTTTAGGAATCTG